CCTTCTATATTGTGATTTTGTTTCAAATAAATTGATCTCAATTGTTCAGTGTGTATTGTTGTCTTTGAAATCCCAAAGATGAAGCGAATGATTCTGAGTACAAACATCTACTTTATACAGGAAAAACAACAACAACAAAGGTTGTGTTTAAAATCTTTTAATATAATGCACAATATATTACACTGAGGAAATAAAACGTCAGGTCTTTCATACACAAATGAGGAAAAGAAACTTTAATGAAACTCTGCAGGTTTAGTTTTTTCTTTTTAAATCTGAAACTGCGTCCTCCAACAGTACAGGCGTGTCGGTGTGGCGCTGAGCAGCCCTGCCCTCCGAAACACAGTGATCGTGCTACTTCATAACATAACAGCATTGGTCTTATCTGGTGGTTTTGGTTTCGATGACTGGGTCGACTTTATAGTTTCAAAGTGCAGGAATCGGCTTCGGTCGACCAGAGTCCCTCTTTTACATCAAGTATGGTCAACAGTAATGACTGTAACGGAGTTTTTACCAGCAGTTACACTGGAGAATATACTATTACTGAATCATAATAATAAAGTGCATCAAACAAAATAAAGCTTTCTTAAATAATAATAAAAATAAACACACCATGAGTAGTAAAAACACAAATTAGAAGAAGACACAGAGGATCAGTCGATCACATCAGCAGTCAGGGACTGTCGAAGGAATAATTATATTGCCTGTAAATGAATCTCGGTCAAGTCAGACGAGTCTATTTCAGAGGTTAATGCTACTATGACGGATTGCAAATACTTCAGTTTTCATTTAACAGTGATCAAGTACCAAGGCACAACAGCTCATCGCTAAGTCACATAACACAGCTGAAACTGCGTCACGACGAGATGGTTTGGATGCTTTTTCTTTGAGGCGTTTGTCGTCAAGGTAGCAGGCTTTTACAACCTTAACGCCAGAGTTTCAAAACAGAACCTTTTTTTTTTGGTCTCTCACAGCTACACAGAGGGTGGGATGGACAAGAAATGGTGGCATAACTGAATCAGTTAAAGTATTAAAGTCATAATAGATAGTCTGTTAACAGAAAGTCAGTGATTCCAGCTTCCAGTTTGGATTCAGGAGACAGACACTATCTCTACTTTTAAGATTAGGCTTCAAACTTTCCTTTTTGCTAAAGCATATAGTTAGG